ACATTTCACAGTTGTGTAATTTGCCTTTTCTTGGTTTTTGTTTCAGTTGATCAACATCATAAGGAGCAAATTGACAAGCTCACTCTGGAGATGTCGGTAAGATGTCGTTTTCTACCTTTTGTTCTGGAAACTTTTGGATGATAATCCTGGTTTGCATTGTTATCTCTTATTCTTGAAGAATGATGGGACGGTGTCTTGCATGTTGATGCTTATGTTGTTGAATAGTGTAATCAAAGCAGGCTTGTTAAGGATGCACACCATAACCGCTGTCTTTCGTCCTCTTTCAGGCCCTGGAAAAGAAGTTGCAGAGGGAGAGGGGGATCACACAGGAACTCCGCAAACAGCTCTTGGAACGCGAGGAGGAACTTGAAACGCTCTCCACTACTCTTCAGCAGGTACGACACTCTAAACCACTCACAAAGGGACTCTTAAAGTGCTGCTAAGACTTTTTCATCCTAAACAATACAGATGAGCCCTGTGGCGAAATTTAGAAGCTTGATTGAAGGCTCATTTTTGTGTCATTAAATTCTCCGCCCTGCTTTTCGTGGCAGTCGAGTCATGAATAACCCAACTGGCCCTCAGCGCGCTATTAGAATTCAGGACGTCATTTTTCACTGCGCCGTCTCAAGGTGAGGGAGAACAGCAAGTTTCACTGAGCCGCAGTCATGCGTGATCCACAGAGACAACAGCAGAGCCGAGCACATCATACAAAGAGGGTTCGTTCTAAAATCCGTTCTGCTCGTGTTTCATGAATGAGAGCCCATGTGTGTAAAAGTGCATCCTCTCTGAAGTCCATATTCCTTTTTTTAATAGTCCTAATCAGGGTCATTATTATAACTGAAACTAAAACCATAAAAAACTTTTCAGGTAGTTTCCCATTTTCATTCATTATAACTTGATGTGCTAAAAAAATGTAATGCTAAAACTGAAATAAAAATTAACTATATAGCCATATAAAAAAATAAAATAACAAAACCACTAAACCTTTACCTAAGATTAAAATTAAATGAAAAATATGACCATAAAATCTAATTCAAAATATGAATAAAAACTGTAATGGTATCTTCGTGGTACTAAAATAACACCGGTCCTAATGCGCAATGCACAGAACATCTCTCTTCAGGTTAGACGAGTTCCCTCCTGATGAGCAGATTTTATCCCACCATCCCAGTAGCTCACAGCATCATTTCTCCTCCACTCTTGCTATTGTCCCGCTGTGTAAATGCCAGAAATTCCACCTCTCACTGTTCGATGATTTGGCTAGTTTGCCCAAACAGTTGCTTGTGATTTCGTTCTTGTGCTCTGAGAAATAAGAACGCGTTCCGCTGGTAATCTGTATCAGGACTCTGCTTCGGATAAGCTTAATCATCAACGTTACGGTCCAAAACTCTGAAAAGTTCTTCCCACACTACAGAGGACGAGCCTAAAACGCTGAAATAACACTTCTTTGTGTCTGTAATAGCATTTGAAGGTGAAAATAGCAATTCTCTCAAAGCTCCACTGGCGATTGTGACGAGCCAGGGCTTCGTTGTACAGTCTCTTTAAAAGCTCTGTCCTGATTCCCCCTGCTGTGTGACACAGGGAGGAGTGTGTAAAGCCTGTGTGTTTTTATCTCCACAGAATGGAAGGCGGGCGGGCGAGGAGACCCCCGGGCCGTGTCTGAAAGAGGCCGGGCCCCTGTTGAAGGAGATGTCCCTGTGTCTGCTGGATCTTAAGGGCCTGTGCAGTGTCCTTACACAGAGAGCTCAAGGCAAAGAGCCCAATCTGGCCCTGCTCCTCGGCATCAAATGTAAATACTTAATCAGAATCTCTTACAGTACTCTTTAATATTTTGTATTTATTTGCATTATTAGTAATCCAGCATAAGCCTGTTTGACTTTAAATGAGATATTGAGGAATTACAGTTATGTTCACTTTTAGCATTTGTAATTTGAATTTAATGTTATTTCTTGCTTTTTAAAAATCAATTTAAAATAGAACACAAATCAATGGTTTTGAATGCTAAAAGTGCATCACAACATTATATTGCACAGCATGAAAAGATTCGCTAAAGAGCATTTAAATTATTAAATTAAATTATTATATTAAATTATTAGTGTTTTAAAGTTTGGGGTCCGTTTTGTTTTTTTATTTTTTTAAGATTTTTTTTATTTTATTTTTTTTTACTTTTATTCAGCAAAAATGCATTAACTTGATTAGAACGGACAGTAAAGACATGGGTTACCAAAGTAAATGTACTTTCTATTCATCAAAGAACTTTCTATTCATCAAAATTTCGACCCAAAAAAAAAAAACGACAGAGGTACCCCTGTCGTTTTTTTTTTTTTTTTCGGTGCGAAAAAATAAGTTTCCCCAATCTTCTCAAAACTCTGGATTCTGATAGAGGGCTGTGAGACTTAGACCTGAGTGCAAAAATTGAGTCTCTAGGCCCTTCCAGAGCTGAGATATTGAGATCCCACGTAGCATTTATGCCATTATAAATATCTCAATATCTCATCTCTGGAAGGGTCTAGAGCCTCCATTTTACATAACAATACATTACGCATACAATAACGAACGCCATAGAAGAAGTCATCTTAAAGGCATATCAACATGTCATGAACACTACTGAACACTAGGTGGCCATTACAGAGTACCATCTTTTGGACATTCATCATACCGCATTGGTTTTCATTTCTTGTCCTCAAAACAGGGCACTAATCAGTTTATTTTTAAGTGTTTGTAGTATTATTTTATACGGAAATCAGTTATTTATAATTATTAGTTTAATTAACAAACTAATTATATGAAACTATTATCAGTACACTACAAATAAACTGGTTCTATGCCTTTATTAGTAAATTAAATCTAAGCCTTTATTAATATACTTTATTATTTTTAAGACATTTATAAAAATGCGTTCTATATTTCTTTTCACTCCACTGTACTCCACCACAGGCGACTGCACGTACAGAATTGACACTTAGTAATTGTCATTTCACCATATTTTTGAACAGACAGTGTGTTTACTTAAAAAATCCTAATGTTTTTCAATCAACGAAATGTTTCATTTGACTCATTTAGCTTCTGTAAAAAGTTAAACATGATGTGACGTCTCATTTAAAATAATAAAGCACCCACATAAAAAGAGTCTCAGCCAATAGAATGAATACACCCGACTGTTTTTTTTTTCCAGCGATGGGCTGCTCGGCGGAGGAAAGTGAGAAGCCGCTGATGGAGGACGGTTTGCGGGCCAAGCTGGTGGAGGTGTGCCAGCTGAGGAAAGACATTGACGAGCTGCGGACGGTCATCTCGGACCGGTACGCACAGGACATGGGTGAAAACTGTGTGACGCAATGACACCCGACTCCAGAGAGCTTGTAAAGGGAGAAAAAAAGTCATCCTGATGAAACAAACAAGGTCTTTCTGACTGCTTAAGGTTGGACCAAGCTGTGAATCCAGTTACAGGACGATCGTTATTATTTTTGTTTTCTTGTGGACGTTGAATCTTCAAGGAATGTGTTTTTAATCTATTTATTGAGACTGTTGGAGGCCTTGCTGGTCCTGTCAGTCGTCATTGAGGGGAAGTAGAGCAAGTGGTGTCCTAAAGTGCCTTGTGTTCCTGTTTCTGTCCCTCCAAACTTCATGAAGCCACAGTCATTTTTTACCCAAAGAAGCTGGTCCATCCTCTTCCCTACAGCTACAGGTCGCAGGTCGACATTCAGGATCCTCTGCATCTCATCCGAAGTACTCCATGAAAACTAGTGTAAATGTTTTGTTTAAATATAAAAGACAGCAAAAGAATCCAGGTTAATCTATTCAGGACACTGTTTAACTTTTTAATTAGCATAAAATATGAGCTGCTTTTTTAGCGCTGCAGCACAGTTCAGTTCAGAACAAGTTGCACACGTTGAGTTCCTAAGTCAGACAGGAAACGGAATTTTTCTGCAGATGACACACTTCCTGTGACCTCCTGACTGTTTATATACTCCAGATAATACATATAGTCCTTGTTATAATTAGGAATATGGATGAAATCAATGCAAAACCTTGTTCACTCAGGTATTTTTTAGAGTTTCCTTTCATTCGTTGTGGTTCTGAGATTGAACTCTTTTAAGTTCATTTTGACCCCAAGCTGTTTGTTTTTTTTATATATATTTGATAATGTTAAGTCCAGAGATGTGGTCATGTCAACCTCTGCACATGTATTTGCATCAATGTGATGAATGGTTGAAATATTTTCAGTACAAAAATGTCAATTTACTGCTCATGTATTGTGACTGATCTCATATTTAAATGTATATTAAGCATGTTTAGAATTTCAAATGGAGGTTTATGTCATAATGTGCTCATGATATCTTGTGCATGTGCATAGCGTTAGAATTAGGTTTCTTTTATGTAAAGGCATTGATTAGCTAAATATTACAAGTTAACTGTGCTATGCAATGTCACATTAACCAGCAGTTATTCCACATTTCTGCAGATATTTAATATTGTTCTGTGCCTTTTAGAATCTATGCAGCTGAACGACAGTAAGCGAAGGGTATTTTCCGTAACTGGCAGAGACAGTTTTTCTTTTCTGAGAACTTTATTTCATAAAGGTGCAGGTGAGCTAAGCCATATTCAAAAGCAAATGCATATTTATTCTCAGGCAAAGATGGAGAATGTTTGTGGTGCTCTTCATTGTGTATTACAGGACAGTGTGATATCTGATAGCATGCTGAATTGTGTGTATATATGAAAGCAATGCGCATTGATTGACATGACCAACTCACTGTGCCTGAAAGCCACTGGTTGGCTCTGGTTAACTGGTTAACTTCACATCAGTCTTTTAAATCTTAAGTTTCATTTTCCAGCTAGATTTTACAAAAGCCAAAGGTCTATTTATGTATTTTTTTTCCCTCAAAAGTATTAACTATTTTTGCATTTTGTAAAATGCTTTTCATTTGTACAAATGTTAAATAAAGTATTTTTCTACATTGGTTGTTTTGTTAGTTTTTTTGGAGAGTTTTGAGAGTACTTCTCAAAACTCTGGATTCTGATAGAGGGCCTTGAGACTTAGACCTGAGTGCAAAAATGGAGGCTCTAGACCCTTCCAGAGCTGAGATATTGAGATCCCATGTAGCATTTATGCCATTATAAAAATATCAAGATCTCAGCTCTGGAAGGGTCTAGAGCCTCAATTTTTGCACTCAGGTCTAAGTCTCATGGCCCTCTATCAGAATCCAGAGTTCAAACACTGTCGTTTTTTTTTTTTTTTTTTCGGTGCGAAAAAATAAGTTTCTCCAATCTTCTCAAAACTCTGGATTCTGATAGAGGGCCATGAGACTTAGACCTGAGTGCAAAAATGGAGGCTCTAGACCCTTCCAGAGCTGAGATATTGAGATCCCACGTAGCATTTATGCCATTATAAATATCTCAATTCTGATATCTCAATATCTCAGCTCTGGAAGGATCTAGGGCCTCCATTTTTGCACTCAGGTCTAAGTCTCTTGGCCCTCTATCGGACTCCAGAGTTTCAAGAAGATCAGAGAAACTCAAAATTTCGACCCCCCCCCCCCCCCCAAAAAAACGACAGTAGTACCCCTGTCGTTTTTTTTTTTTTTTTGGTGCGAAAAAATAAATTTCCCCAATCTTCTCAAAACTCTGGATTCTGATAGAGGGCCATGAGACTTAAACCTGAGTGCAAAAATGGAGGCTCTAGACCCTTCCAGAGCTGAGACATTGAGATCCCACGTAGCATTTATGCCATTATAAATATCTCAATATCTCAGCTCTGGAAGGGTCTAGAGCCTCAATTTTTGCACTCAGGTCTAAGTCTCATGGCCCTCTATCGGAATCCAGAGTTTCAAGAAGATCAGAAAAAACTCAAAATTTCGACCCCCCCAAAAAAAACCGACAGTGGTACCCCTGTCGTTTTTTTTTTTTTTTTCGGTGCGAAAAAATAAGCTTCTCCAATCTTCTCCAAGCCTCCATTTTTGCACTTAGGTCTAAGTCTCATGGCCCTCTATCAGAATCCAGAGTTTTGAGAAGATTGGAGAAACTTATTTTTTCGCACCGAAAAAAAAAAAAACGACAGGAGTACCACTGTCGTTTTTTTGGTGGGGGGGTCAAAATTTTGAGTTTCTCTCATCTTCTTGAAACTCTGGATTCTGATAGAGGGCCATGAGACTTAAACCTGAGTGCAAAAATTGAGGCTCTAGACCATTCCGGAGCTGAGATCTTAAGATTTTTATAATGGCATAAATGCTACGTGGGATCTCAATGTCTCAGCTCCATTTTTTTCAGAGCCTCCATTTTTGCACTCAGGTTTAAGTCTCATGGCCCTCTATCAGAATCCAGAGTTTTGAGAAGATTGGAGAAACTTCATTTTTCGCCTGAAAAAAAAAACGCAAGGGGTACCACTGTCGTTTTTTTGGGGGGTCAAATTTTTGAGTTTTGATATCTCAGCTCTGGACGGGTCTAGAGCCTCCATTTTGCACTCAGGTTTAAGTCTCATGGCCCTCTATCAGAATCCAGAGTTTTGAGAAGATTGGAGAAACTTCATTTTTCGCCCGAAAACGAAAAAAAACGAAAGGGGTAACACTGTCGTTTTTTTTTTCGGGTCGAAATTTTGAAATTCGATATCTCAGCTCTGGAAGGGTCTAGAGCCTCCATTTTTGCACTCAGGTCAAAGTCTCACAGCCCTCTATCATAATCCAGAGTTTTGAGAAGATTGGAGAAACTTAATTTTTTGCCCGAAAATGAAAAAAAACAAAGGGGGTAACACTGTCCTTTTTTTTTCGGGTCGAAATTTTGAAATTCAATATCTCAGCTCTGGAAGGGTCTAGAGCCTCCATTTTTGCACTCAGGTCAAAGTCTCACAGCCCTCTATCATAATCCAGAGTTTTGAGAAGATTGGAGAAACTTAATTTTTCGCCCAAAAACGAAAAAAAACAAAAGGGGTAACACTGTCGTTTTTTTTTCGGGTCGAAATTTTGAAATTCGATATCTCAGCTCTGGAAGGGTCTAGAGCCTCCATTTTTGCACTCAGGTCAAAGTCTCACAGCCCTCTATCATAATCCAGAGTTTTGAGAAGATTGGAGAAACTTAATTTTTCGCCCGAAAATGAAAAAAAAACAAAAGGGGTAACACTGTCGTTTTTTTTCGGGTCGAAATTTTGAAATTCGATATCTCAGCTCTGGAAGGGTCTAGAGCCTCCATTTTTGCACTCAGGTCAAAGTCTCACAGCCCTCTATCATAATCCAGAGTTTTGAGAAGATTGGAGAAACTTAATTTTTCGCCCAAAAACAAAAAAAACAAAAGGGGTAACACTGTCGTTTTTTTTTCGGGTCGAAATTTTGAATTCGATATCTCAGCTCTGGAAGGGTCTAGAGCCTCCATTTTTGCACTCAGGTCAAAGTCTCACAGCCCTCTATCATAATCCAGAGTTTTGAGAAGATTGGAGAAACTTAATTTTTCGCCCAAAACGAAAAAAAACAAAAGGGGTAACACTGTCGTTTTTTTTTCGGGTCGAAATTTTGAAATTCGATATCTCAGCTCTGGAAGGGTCTAGAGCCTCCATTTTTGCACTCAGGTCAAAGTCTCACAGCCCTCTATCATAATCCAGAGTTTTGAGAAGATTGGAGAAACTTAATTTTTCGCCCAAAAACGAAAAAAAACAAAGGGGTAACACTGTCGTTTTTTTTTCGGGTCGAAATTTTGAATTTCGATATCTCAGCTCTGGAAGGGTCTAGAGCCTCCATTTTTGCACTCAGGTCAAAGTCTCACAGCCCTCTATCATAATCCAGAGTTTTGAGAAGATTGGAGAAACTTAATTTTTCGCCCAAAAACGAAAAAAAAAAAAAGGGGTAACACTGTCGTTTTTTTTTCGGGTCGAAATTTTGAATTTCGATATCTCAGCTCTGGAAGGGTCTAGAGCCTCCATTTTTGCACTCAGGTCAAAGTCTCACAGCCCTCTATCATAATCCAGAGTTTTGAGAAGATTGGAGAAACTTAATTTTTCGCCCAAAAACGAAAAAAAACGAAAGGGGTAACACTGTCGTTTTTTTTTCGGGTCGAAATTTTGAATTTCGATATCTCAGCTCTGGAAGGGTCTAGAGCCTCCATTTTTGCACTCAGGTCAAAGTCTCACAGCCCTCTATCATAATCCAGAGTTTTGAGAAGATTGGAGAAACTTAATTTTTCGCCCAAAAACGAAAAAAAACGAAAGGGGTAACACTGTCGTTTTTTTTTCGGGTCGAAATTTTGAATTTCGATATCTCAGCTCTGGAAGGGTCTAGAGCCTCCATTTTTGCACTCAGGTCAAAGTCTCACAGCCCTCTATCATAATCCAGAGTTTTGAGAAGATTGGAGAAACTTAATTTTTCGCCCAAAAATGAAAAAAAACGAAAGGGGTAACACTGTCGTTTTTTTTTCGGGTCGAAATTTTGAATTTCGATATCTCAGCTCTGGAAGGGTCTAGAGCCTCCATTTTTGCACTCAGGTCAAAGTCTCACAGCCCTCTATCATAATCCAGAGTTTTGAGAAGATTGGAGAAACTTAATTTTTCGCCCAAAAACGAAAAAAAACGAAAGGGGTAACACTGTCGTTTTTTTTTCGGGTCGAAATTTTGAATTTCGATATCTCAGCTCTGGAAGGGTCTAGAGCCTCCATTTTTGCACTCAGGTCAAAGTCTCACAGCCCTCTATCATAATCCAGAGTTTTGAGAAGATTGGAGAAACTTAATTTTTCGCCCAAAAACGAAAAAAAACGAAAGGGGTAACACTGTCGTTTTTTTTTCGGGTCGAAATTTTGAATTTCGATATCTCAGCTCTGGAAGGGTCTAGAGCCTCCATTTTTGCACTCAGGTCAAAGTCTCACAGCCCTCTATCATAATCCAGAGTTTTGAGAAGATTGGAGAAACTTAATTTTTCGCCCAAAAACGAAAAAAAACGAAAGGGGTAACACTGTCGTTTTTTTTTCGGGTCGAAATTTTGAATTTCGATATCTCAGCTCTGGAAGGGTCTAGAGCCTCCATTTTTGCACTCAGGTCAAAGTCTCACAGCCCTCTATCATAATCCAGAGTTTTGAGAAGATTGGAGAAACTTAATTTTTCGCCCCAAAATGAAAAAAAAAAAAAGGGGTAACACTGTCGTTTTTTTTTCGGGTCGAAATTTTGAATTTCGATATCTCAGCTCTGGAAGGGTCTAGAGCCTCCATTTTTGCACTCAGGTCAAAGTCTCACAGCCCTCTATCATAATCCAGAGTTTTGAGAAGATTGGAGAAACTTAATTTTTCGCCCAAAAACGAAAAAAAACGAAAGGGGTAACACTGTCGTTTTTTTTTCGGGTCGAAATTTTGAATTTCGATATCTCAGCTCTGGAAGGGTCTAGAGCCTCCATTTTTGCACTCAGGTCAAAGTCTCACAGCCCTCTATCATAATCCAGAGTTTTGAGAAGATTGGAGAAACTTAATTTTTCGCCCAAAAACGAAAAAAAACGAAAGGGGTAACACTGTCGTTTTTTTTTCGGGTCGAAATTTTGAATTTCGATATCTCAGCTCTGGAAGGGTCTAGAGCCTCCATTTTTGCACTCAGGTCAAAGTCTCACAGCCCTCTATCATAATCCAGAGTTTTGAGAAGATTGGAGAAACTTAATTTTTCGCCCAAAAACGAAAAAAAACGAAAGGGGTAACACTGTCGTTTTTTTTTCGGGTCGAAATTTTGAATTTCGATATCTCAGCTCTGGAAGGGTCTAGAGCCTCCATTTTTGCACTCAGGTCAAAGTCTCACAGCCCTCTATCATAATCCAGAGTTTTGAGAAGATTGGAGAAACTTAATTTTTCGCCCAAAAATGAAAAAAAACGAAAGGGGTAACACTGTCGTTTTTTTTTCGGGTCGAAATTTTGAATTTCGATATCTCAGCTCTGGAAGGGTCTAGAGCCTCCATTTTTGCACTCAGGTCAAAGTCTCACAGCCCTCTATCATAATCCAGAG